AAAGATTCACAGGACATAAAAAAAAGTACTATTAATCATTCAAAAAATAAATAACAACTAAAAAATGTTTAGTCTAAACAGAATTCATCCAGTATAATATACTGGACAACAAGCTTACACAGCGTAGATATCCTATAAAATATACAGGAATCAAACAAAACTGAACTATAATATAATAATCATCCAGTATAACATACTGGAAACCAAACAAACTCAAATATTTTTTTCAAGAGCCTAATAAAAAAAAGACAAATTATAACTCAAAAAAGGAATTGACAAATAAAACAAAATTCTAGTCTAAAAAGAACTAATCTAGTATAACATACTAGAGAAAAAACTTAGACACAGGAAATAACAAAACTGTGCACACTAACCTGCTGAATCTTTTCACTAATTTCATGAACAGCAAGAGGTGCTTTTTCTTTCAACTTCCTTTCAACTCCTTCAACATTATCTTTACTTTGTTGGATGCACATTTCAGAAAGACTTGCCAAACCAGTCTCAGATTCTCTTTCCTTTGCTCCAGATGCTGCATTCACATTTACTATAGGAATAACTTGTTCTACTTCAGGTGAATCCAAAATTATATTTCCTTTTTCAATATCGCGAAAAATGGCTTCAACATCTGTACCTCCTGTTGCAGCATCTGTTTCACTTTCCTGAGAAAATAGATTTCTCTTATAATATAAACATTTAACACATATTGGACAATCAAGCTTAAATACGACACACTTCCATTAAAAGATACTGAAATCAAACAAAACTCAAGTATTTTTTTGAAGAGCATAATTAAAAAAAACAGAAAAATTATAACTCAAAAAAGGAATTGGCAAATAAAACAAAATTCTAGTCTAAACATAACTAATCCAATATAACATACTAGAAAAAAAACTTAGACACAGGAAACAACAAAACTCCGCACACTAACCTGCTGAATCTTTTCAATAATTTCATCAACAGCAAGAGGTGCTTTTCCTTTCAACTCCCTTTCATCTCCTTCAAAATTATCTTTACTTTCTTGGATGCACATTTCAGAAAGACTTGCCAAACCAGTCTCGGGTTCTCTTTCCTTTGCTCCAGATGCTTCATTCACATTAACTATAGGAATAACTTGTTCCACTTCAGGTGAATCCAAAATTATATTTCCTTTTTCAACATCTGTACCTCCTGTTATACCTCCTGTTACACCATCTGTTACACTTCCCTGAGAGACTGCAATTATGTTACTTTGCAAATATTTTGACTAGACTGTGGTGACCATCTTTCTGTCGGATCACTTATTTTTCTAATTAGAGAATCGATATCACTACCAGCTGTAAGATCAGTCTCATCTGGACCACAATTTGCTAATTCTTCATTACAAATAAGACCTTTCATTACATCTGCACCACTTGGTCCACCTTGATCACTGCATTTCTTATTTTGTGCATCTTTGAGCGATTCAATATCCATTGGTGGTATCTTTGATGACACAACTCCACAATTTTCCTTATTATCTTGACTGCACTGTGGTGTTGAAATTTGATATGTCCCATCAGCTATTTTTTGCCAGATAGCATCAACATCAATACCAGTTGACTGACCTTGATCAGGGGCACTACATTCCACTCTTACTTCATCACAAGGAATTTCCTCTGAATTTGCATCATTTGCTGCTTTTTCATTAGTAGTCTCTTCATCACAACATCCAACACCTACTGCAGCCTCATGTGGGGCTGATTCAACATTCATGGCTGATGGAATTAATGATCCAGCTGTGGTATTTTGTAAAATCTTTTCACTGGAATGTGGTGTAGAAAGCTCTTGTTTCCCATCACCTGTTTTAACCATCAAACTTTTTGTACCTGCTGTCAGAACTGGTTCAATTGCATTACATTCTGGCCTTAATTCATTACAAGGATCTTGCAATAAAATTCCAGTGCCTGGTACAGCTTCTCCATTAACTTGTGCTGGATGAACTGAGTCAATATCCATAGCTAATGATATTGAATCAACATGTGCTCGACCTTCATTGTCACTCTCCTTATTTGGTGCCATTGAAATAGAAGGTCTTACATACTCAAACTCCTTATTGCACAGTTCATCTTGTTCCAGTAACTCACCATCTTCCTCTTTTTCATTCCGTTTGTCTCCCGACAAATTTGAAAAATCTCTATCACAATAATTATCTCCATCATAATTCTCTCCATCAGAATAATTTCTTTGGTCATTGATTTTCTGACTGCTTTCCTCATGCTTTTCATTACTTTCATCTCCCTCATGCTTTTCATTCCTTTCCTCATTGTCTTCAGTACTTTCATCTGCCTCGTGCTTTTGATTGCCTTTCACACTGCTTTCCTCATGGTTTTCATTGCTTTCATCATGATTTTTTAAATCTTTAATAAACTTTACAACAACATCAAGCTTGTCATTGATTTCCTGCATTAATGAATACAATATATTATTATAGAAAAAAAATCAATAGTAAAATAAATTACCAAACTAGTTAATTACCTTAACAGTGCTCTTAACATACTTCTTCAACTTTTTTCGATTATCTTTAATTTTTGTTTTCATCTCTATTTGAAATTTATTATTATCCTCACGTACAACCTCTTCAACTTTGTCAGATACCCTCTGAAAAGAAAAGAAAAATGGTAAGAATTAGAATCATAACGGTTAAACATTCTTATCGAGTGTAAAAACAATTCAATAAAGAGTAGAATATAATTTTGTAGAGTAAATTATTAGAACTAAAAAATATAATGAAATGAAATATTAGACTTATCCAGTATATTATAGTGGACAAAACAGCCTACATCTGGCAGTCTTCTCGTATAATATACTGAATGAAATGAATTTAAAGGTGTAAAACTCCAGAAGAAAATACTGGGATATAAAGAACTAAAATAATCAAAGGGTATATTATAAAACAAAAAGACAAATAATTATTCACAAGGTAACACACACTAGACTACCTGTAAATTATACGGGATGACATGAACCAGAAGAAATGAAAACTGACCAAGTATAACATACAGGAGGACAAGGTAACACACACTAGATTACCTGTAAATTATACTAGATGACAAGAATCAGAAGGAATTAAAACTCATTCCTGTATAACATACCGGACAACAAAAACACACACTAGTCTACCTAATGAAATGCAAGACTAAATAAAATAGAAGAAACAACTACTTACATTGACAATGTCGCTAACATTAACTTTTGATGAAGATTGGAGAAGATATGATTGATTCACCTTGAAAAGCTTATATTTCTATTAATTAAATAGAAATATAAATAGTTAGATAAAAACAAAATATATGAGCACAAGTATAAATTAAAAATTCACATACGATTCACTTACAGTTGTTTTCTTAAAGAAATCATCGCAAAGTGAGTCATATTTTGGACATCCAATGCTTGAGTAAGACAACATTCTTATTGGCCCCTGATCCTCATATATTGAATATTGACGGAAATCATTGAACACTTCCATAATCCATACATTAAACAAGAAGGGGAATCCTACCAATAGGTTTGTCTTTCACAGATTCTGTTTTCAGAAGATGAGACAAATTGTCAATAAGTTCTTGAAAGCAGTAACTCCCCCATGGAAAAGAAGAACAAAGTTCTGGATCGTCTATGATTTTCATATTACGTTCACTTATATTTCTTTTAATGTCTTTACCCAAAAGAACAGTTTCTAATATGTATATCTCAGCAAGCTTTACAGCATCTTCATCACAGACCTCGACATCATCACATATATCATCTGCTGCACCATCACGGAGTCGAGAACGCTTTGTGATAAATTTATACAAATGTTCTACCTTCAAACCTTTTGGCACATCAGAGAAATACCGTTTCTTCAAACGGTTATCTCTATCATCAACAAAACTATAATCAGATGCCTCAATCTTCAATCCGGTTATAGAATGGAAATCATCTTCTGTAAAAGCTACGTCGTTATCAAAAACTCTAAAAACCATTTTGCTTTTATCCTTGTAAAAAACTTGAGAAAGCAACATACAATGAGTCAACTTCCCAGAGTGACCCACGTCATCCAACTTTAAAAATTTCCCAAACACACCATTCTTTAACTGTTCCATTTGAGTTCCACACAAAACTCTGAAATTGTTTTCTTAAATTTTCGATCGCCTTTCCAATAACAATCAGCAGCAAACCACTTCTTAAGATCATAAAATCGATCTCCCTCCTAAAATCAAAATATAACACAGATAAGCAACATTTCATGTAATTTTAAGATCAAAAATTCAACATTTTAGAAATACGTACCTTCAATATATAACTTGATGATTCCATTTCTATAAAATCATCAAAAAAACATATTACAAATCAGATAATAAACACAATCAGAATCCCAGTATATATATGAGAAATAAATTATCAAAATAACTCATTCACTAAAATGAACAGAAGAACAGTCTATAGATTGCAGTCTTCCAGCATAATATACTGGATCAGACTAAAATACAAGATATGAAAATCGAAAAACAACATAATAATCATGCGGTATCATATACTGGAGAAAAAAGCTTACACACGGGAGAAACTCTGTAAAATATACTGGACTTAAAAAATACTTGTCTATATTATAATATTCATTCAGTATAACATACTGGAAGCCAAACATTCATATGATAGATGTCCCCCTATAATAATCTATCCTAAACAGAACTCGTCCAGTATAATATACTGGAGAAAAATATTAAACGCAGGTGGTGTCCTGTATATTATACTGGATTGAAACAAAACTCAACTATATGCTAGACCAAACTCAACTCGTCCAGTATAATATACTGGAGAAAAAGATTACACACATGTGATGTCCCGTATATTATACTGGATTGAAACAAAACTCAACTATATGCTATCCCAAACTCAACACCTCCAGTATAATATAATGGAAAAAAAGATTACACACACGTGATGTCCTGTATATTATACTGGATTGAAACAAACTCAACTATATGCTAGCCCAAACTCAACTCCTCCAGTATAATATAATCGAAAAAAAGATTACACACAGGTGATATCCTGTATATTATACTGGATTGAAACAACTCAACTATATGCTATCCCAGACTCAACTCCTCCAGTATAACTATAATGGAAAAAAACGATTAACACACAAGGTGATGTCCTGTATATTATACTGGATTGAAACAAAACTCAACTATATAGCTAGCCCAAACTCAACTCCTCCAGTATAATATAATCGAAAAAAACGATTACACACAGGTGATGTCCTGTATATTATACTGGGACGAAACAAGACTCAACTATATTATAATATTCATCCAGTGTAACATACTGGAAGATAAACATACACAAGACAGACTCCAGTATAATATAACTG